GAGACCAGCCTGCCCAACGTTGTGAAATCCTGTCTCTACTAAAAACACACAAAAAATGAGCTGTGTGTGGTGGCGCACGCCTGTAATCCCAGCTACTCGGGGGGCTTGAACCCAGGAAACAGAGAGCAGAGGTTGCAGTGAGCCGAGATCACGCCACCGCACTCCAGCCTGGGTGACAGAGTATTTCTAAATAAATAACTAAATATAAAATGACTGAATGGTCTCTTGAAATTCCTTTCTATGGCGGAATAATATTTCACGGTGGATATGTTACTTTTTTTATCCATTCATCAGTGATAGGCATTGTTCCCAATTTTTGACTCCTTTAAATAATGCTTCTATGAGCATTCATGTACAACATGTTGCTAAACGTTTATTTTAGGTTCAGAGGTACATTGTGTAGGTTTGTTATGTAGGTCAATTGCATGTTGTGGTGGTTTTGCGTACAGATTATTTTGTCACCTGGGTCATCAGCACAGTGATCTATAGGTCGTCTATTTATCCTCACCCTCCTCTCACTTTCTACCCTCAAGTAGGCTTCGGTGTCTGAAGTTCCCTTGTGTCCATGGGTACCCAGTGTTTAGCTCCTGCTTATAAGTGAGAACATGTGGTATTTGATTTTCTGTTTCTGAATTCACTTAGGATAATGGCCTCCAGCTCCATCCATATTGCTGCAAAGGACATGATCTCGTTATTTTATTTTATTTTATTTTATTTTGAGATGGAGACTCACTCTGTCGCCAGGCTGGGGTGCAATGGTGCCATCTTGGCTCACTGCAACCTCCGCCTCCCGGGTTCCAGCAATTCTCCTGCCTCAGCCTCCCCAGTAGCTAGGATTACAGGCACCCACCACCACGCCCGGCTAACTTTTGTATTTTTAGTAGAGACAGGGTTTCACCATGTTGGCCAGGATGGTCTCAATCTCTTGAACTCGTGATCCGCTTGCCTCGGCCTCCCAAAGTGCTGGTTTTACAGGCGTGAGCCACCGCACCCAGCTGACATTGTTATTTTTTATGATTGCATCATTTACAAGTTTTTGCGTGGACATCTGTTTTCATTTGTTTTGGGTATATACCTGGGTCATATGGTAGCTCTATGGTTAACTTTTGGAGGATTGGTGTTAATAATTCACAAAACCAAAAACAGCAAAAGAGGAAGCACTTCCCAAATCTTCTACGAGGCCAGTATTACTCTGACACCAAACCCAGAAATAGACATCACAAGAAAACAAAACTGCAGACCAAAATCCTTTATGAAAATGAATGCAAAAATCCTCAAAAAATACTAGCCGACCAAGTCCTGCAACATATTAAAAGGATTATATACCATGACCAGGTGGTAATTATCCCAGGAATGTAGGCTAGTTTAATATCTAATCATCCATCAATGTAATACACATATTAATAGAATAAAGGATTAAAATTATATGATCACATTATAGTTATATAATTATATAATCATATAATTATATGATCACATTATAAGATCACAGTTTAATTATATAACCATATAATTAACTGTATATAACCAT